TTCCGATTCCGGGAGTAGTAAGTTTAGGTTGAGTTACTTTAAACTTATTCCGTTTAATAACTCATGTTCTACATCAAATTTCAACGATCCAACCGTTCAATTTAAAGTTTTTAATGCATAGATCAAATTTGTAAATTTTTAGAAAATTTGAAAATTATTTGATACTTCATTTCATTAATTCAAATTGACGGATAATCATAAAATTATTTTATACATTGATTCAAATTAATGAAACAAAGTATCAAATAATTTTTAAATTTTCTAAAAATTTACAGATTTGATCTATGTATTAATAGCTTTAAATTGAATGGTTGGATCGTTGAAATTTGATGTAAAACATAAATTATTGAATAGAGTAAGTCTAGGTAGACTTATTCCTAAAATAAAAGGATCCCTCCTCTCTCTCTATATATATATATATATAATTTTTTTTTATGTTTTAATCTTAACCATTCATAACAAAAGAAATGTGGATCATATAATTAGGATGGCCACCATTTAATGTCATATAATTACTTAAAAAATTCACGTGACAAAAAAAAAAATCAACATAACTTTGTTATGTTTTAATTTTGACCATTCATAACAAGACTTAACGATCAATATCCATATAAACATTGAAACAACATACAATTTTATTATTTTTATTGAGTTTTACTCACAATTAAAACAAAAAATACATTCCTTATACGCACTATAATTTACATTATCTTATGTTAAAAGAAAAACAAAAGTAAACATTGAAAAAGACTTATTAACAAATAACAATCTCCTAAGACTCCTAAAAACTTATAGTACACATTTCCCACGAGATATTAAGACATTTTCAACAATTAAAATTCTAACATACGCAACAAACCTGATAATTAGAATCAACAGCAATTTTAGTTATAGAGCGCCATGAGCCAATTAATACTAGTACCAATTTTTGTTTTTTCATTTGTGATGCTTTGCCTCATCGTCGATGACAGTTGAAATGGTCTCTTTCAAGTTGAATGATTAATTGTTGTAACACCTTGAGATACTTGCTTGTGAAATGATCATGTATCATCCTTCTTGAAAGTCTGAGTTTTCCATATAACTGTCTAGGTGTTTCATACAAATAGACATGTTTCTCATTAGGATCATTGCAACTTAAATTAGAATTTTCAAAGGAAGCTGCAGGGACAATATGCATGATCCTTCCTGGAGGATAAAGATGACGTCTACCCAATTTGGTGGCTGGAGAAGAATTATCTTCTTCATCAATGTTTTTGGTCTTGGTTGCATCTTTTTCTTCCTTAGCATGAATGATAGAGATATCATCATCTTTTTGCAATTTAAGTTTCCCCATTTGATTTAACATTGTGTCTTCATCATAATCATCTGTGTCATCATCGTCCGATCCTTCACTAGAGAAATTTAATTCTTCCTCATCTAATATATACTCTTCATTCAAAAGAGACTCATAATTTATATTTGATGATAAAGAAGCTTCATCCAAGTTATCTGATTCAGAGTTTGATAATGTTTCAACGTTCTCAGGATTGGACCAAGGTATCAATTGGTGAGTTCTTTCTTCATACTTTGCCACAACCTTTAGTTATAAAAAAGACTATCGATATTAGATTATCAAAACATGTATATGATTTGAGAAATTCCTATGAAAAAAGGAGATATGTATAATTAAAAAAAAATAGCTAGAGTAATAATATTTATCAAGATCAATATTCAATATATAGTTCCTTACGTATGGTTAGCTAATTGTGAGAGCAAACTCTTGTTAGAGTCTAGTGAATTTGAGACTTTATCCTTATTATAGAGCATGTATCGAGTATTTTGAATGTCATATATATATATATATAT